TTAATCAACTTTTAAACTTATGCTTAATAGTACTTATTTAAACCATTTTCTAAACTTGCTATGGTGCCAGTATTCACACACCAGAAAATGTACTCAAGTTGTGTCAAACTAGAAATATATTTCCATTAGAGTATTAATATCTGTCAACACTTAATACTGCAACGAGAAGAAATGATTATTTAAAAACTTATTTTTAATTGGGAATTAATACATATATCATACCATTCCATAGTTCAATCGCGCCAAGCAGTATTGTACAATTGCTACCACAATGAGTTTCCAAATATTCTTTTCCTTCCTGAACTCCTTGACATTGTTTCCCTTTTAGACACCCCTCCCTCCATCCCCACCACTGTAAATTCCCCCCCATTCCAGTGAAACTTTTATTCTATTTGCTTTCCCTATAGGTTCATGAATCCTGGGGTTCATATACTGAAAAACATAGCACAACTACAGGAGATTGACGCCAATGACATAATACATCTGAGATAAATGCTATTAGGAAAAAACAAAATTAATTTTTGTTGAATAAATAAATGATTTTTGTTGGAGATTTATCCCGGGAATCTTAACTTCACAGCAGATCAAAACTCCTTGGGTCACATTTCAAACAAAAGGGAAGCAAAGCATGATCCATGCTGGTGTTAGTATACAATTTTCTCCTGACTGTACTGAAGAATCTGAGTCACCTGTGATTATGTGGTCCCAACAATAAATTCAAAAGAGGTGCTCCGGTGAGCTGCTTATAAATACTTCAGATTAGATACAGTTATACTGAATGCAGCGTTTGTTTGAAATCTTTAAAAAATTACTTTTTATCCTGAAATGGTGACTGTAGTAGTTTAATAATTCTGTTAAATGCGCACATTGAATTACTTATTATCAAGGGTCCCAACTGCTCTATTAAGGACGTTCACTGGCCATCTTCTATTTCTTGACCATGCTCCAAAATTCTCTTCCTTGTGGCTTTTTTGCCATTAGTTATTTTAGTAGAAGTTGATACAGATTTGAAGTTGCCCATGCCACAACCACCATTTAATGTGGAAGATAAGGAAGTAAGTCCCCCATGCCCAATGAGCACAGTGAAGTGAATCCTGTATCAAAAGTCGAAAATCCATCTCCAAAAGATGGAAACCCACTGAAAGCAGAGAAAAAGGGCCCTAGGTCGTGGCTTCCTTTGGCTTCCAGGAGGGCCTCTATGATTCCCAAAACATCATCAAATGGGTCCCCAAATAAATCAAATGAAAATGGGTGCCTTCCACCAAAAAATTCCCTGAAAACATCACCTGGGTTAGGGAATGTGAAGCCAAACTCAAATAACTGCCAGAAGGATTTCCACCTACAAAATTAATCCGTCTTGGCCATATTTGTTAAAATATCATGTTTTTTAGCATATGATTGCAATTCATATATTTCAGCTACTTGTTTGAATTTCTTTTTGGCTTCCTCCATATTCTCAGGATTTTTTATCAGGATGCCACTTCAGTGCCAACTTTTGATATGCTTTTTTAATGTCTTCAGCTGTGGCATTGCTTTGCACACCTGGAACTTCCTGAGGAGGTTGGCAGCCACTGTCAGGGCGGAGGAGAAGCTGGACAGTGGGGTCTATGGTCTCCTCTCAGGTCCTGAATGGCTGATGCTGACGGTAGCAGTGGTGACAATTCCTTTTACTTTCTCTCCCGTTCTCCAAGATTAATACAATGTTTAGTTTCTGATCTCTACAATAGCCCTCTTAGGTAGGCAGGGCGGTTTCCTGCTCTTAAATGCAATTTTCCAGATGAGGAAACCTAATGAATAGAAGATATCTTAGGTTTCAAGTTTTGGGTTTCATCATATCTGTGCAGAACTTCATCTCAAAGTGTGAAGCATAGCGCCAGGCTTTCTGAACCAACAACGGAAGTTGATGGACAATAAGGGAGAAGCTGGAGAGAGCTATGCTGAGGCCTGATTCCATCTGTTTCTTGGATGGTGGGACTCTCTCATTCAGTAGCTAGCAGGGAGGACATTAAGGGAAATGGTAAGGGATTTGGGATTTGGGGACTGGTAGGATATTGGCTATAAAAGTGAGGGTATCTGGTGAATTCTAAACCTATGTTTTGGCTAGCACAGTAGTTGCTAAAGCTTCACACACTCAGCAAAGGCAGGGTGATGAAGAGAGCAGAGGGAGATGATGTCTGGGTGGTCTTCCAGCCCCCTTTAGAAGGATGCCGAGATGATGATGAAGGTGCTGATACAGGAGAAACAGCTGGGACCCTGCAGTTGTATGATAAAAGGTACAGCAACCAGTGAACTCTGAACTAGTAAAGTCACCTGAGCTTTTAGGGAGATCCAAGCTGCAAAGAGTGCCTAGCAGTGACAGAGTGGAGCGGTTGCTTTGTAGGAAGGAGTTCGGTTTTATCGGGAGGGAATTCATTCTAGAGGTTACATATTCTATTGGGAAGACAGTCTTGGTTTTTATTTTTTGTTTGCTTTTTCTTTGTCTTGCTGTCCCTCTTCTATTATGGCAGTTTTATTTTAAAATTTCAAACTCTGAACATGATTTAAGACAAATTTATAACTTGCTTAGCACATGCTGAGCACAAAGGCAGCAAGCATGAACAAAGGAGCCTCGATGTCTTGAATGTTCTTACCGCCCTTCCTCCGGTACCGTGCTGGTGAGGACGTGGACCTGTCTATGGAAGAAGACTGGTGTGTCACGGATGTAATCAGAGTGGGTGCTGAACATGGAGGACAAGGCTGCCGGTCATGCCCGAGTCCAGACAGTTCATGGAAAATATTATCTTTAGCGTCCTTTCAACATTTGCTTTGTGTTCCAATACTCAAAAACTCTTACTGCATTCCACTTTCTTCTTTAACCTTGCCCTTGACTCACTGTCAATCACTGAGTATCCTGCATCTAGTGAACACATTCTCAATAAAGCAAGAGAAGCATCTGGCATCCCCTTCAGCCTCTTACCCAGCTCTGCCTCCCTTGCCTCCTTCTCCTCCCTTGCCTCCCAAGGCAAAAGGGGGTGGGGAGCAGAGATTCAGGCATAAACAGCACACACTGATCCCTTTATGGACTTCAATTTGGGCCCTCAATGCAAGAAGGGCTGAGAAGAACCTGTTAATTCTAATTAGGTTTAAACAAATGAGCTGGAAAATGTAGGGAAACCACTGTGGACAATGAGGAGTGAGCTGATCATCTTCCATTTCATTAGCACAAGAAGAATTTGTGGTGCAGTTGATGGAGTGAGGAAGGGCAGCATCCAGAGGGGCCCCCATTTCTGAAAAGGTCAGACGGCCATTTCCTTGACAGGTGGGGGCAGAGGCTGCTTAACCAGCCTCTACTCTTCTCATCTTGTCTAGTGGGAGGCAAACCCCATACGGAGAAAGGCCCTGAATGGGGCCTGGAGTGCCCCTTCACCAGCTGCCCTACTCACAAGATGGAGTTCAAGGCTGAATACCGTAAATGGGCAGCGTGCTTTGGATGCTTCCGGCACAGTGGTTAAGCACTCAGCTGCTTACCTAAAGGTTTCTGTAAAACCTTTAGCCTCAGTTTCTGTAAAGTTTCCTGTCTTGAAAACCCTAGGGGGCAGTTCTACCCTGTCCTATGCGTTCACTATGGGTCTGAATAGATTAGACAGCAATAGGTTTGGGTTTTTCTGGTTGTTGTTGTTGTTATAATCTACTGGGGCCTGCACCACTCCTGAGGCCACAGCTCCCCCCTCTCTCGGTCATTCTTTGGGGGAGTTTCTGTCCCTTAATAAAGAAAAGGCAGGGAAAACCACCTGCTGCTGGCAGATTAACAGGCCACCTGTCAGCCTCCTGGTTGGTTCTGCATTCCCACCAGGTATGATGCAAGGGCAACCTACTAATAAGGGGGAGGGGGTGGTGTCAAGTGAATTAAGCGCTGGTTCTTCGAAAAGGATTCTCCTTATTGATGAAGGCGGTCGTCTATGAAATCCAGTCAACAGCTGGCCACTCCTCCTCTCCGCATTGGGGGCTCCTTTGGGAATGACGGCCTGTCTTGGCCGCCCGGTCCCCGTCCTCTGTTTCCCAGGGCACTCCATTGCGGGCTGTACCTAGGAGAAAGGCGCTAGGTCCCTCGGGGTGCGCTAGGGGCTGCCTGCTACTCAGGGGTCTCCCGATCCCCGGCCCGGCCTCGAGCTCAGGCGAGCCAGCGCGTAGAGCTGTCTCCCGGCCGCCTGGGGCGGCGAGAGCCCGCGCCCGCTCCAGTTGCTGCCGCAGCTGCTGCCGTTGGCTGCGGTGGCGAGCGCAGGGCGGGAGCCCGAGAGACTTAGGTGGCGGGGACGCGGCCGAGGAGAAGCCAGGAGGCAAGGAGGAAGGCCGAGGAGTCTCCGCGGCTCCGGGATCCTGGGACACTGGGCTAGTCGCCGGCCGCCGCCCGGTAGCCGGCCGCCCGGGGCGGGGGCGGGGCGGGGGC